TGATATTCGACAAGGGAGGATTTGGCTAATACGGGATAGGTGCACGTGAGGAAGGTCAAGCTCCTTAAGCAGCCGAAGTTCGATTTGGGTGCCCTCCTCGGCCTCCACGGCGAGTCCAGCCAGGACGACTCTGGCCAGAAGGTGAGTTCTCCGTAATTCGCACATCTAGGGCATTACTGATGCGGTACACATAGGTCGAGCGCGAGTTCAAGGAGACCGTCCTCGAGAGCGTGTAAGCGGGTCATGATTGAGGGGTTTCTCGGTTTCTTCAACTTCTTCGACATGATATGGGCATCCAAAAGGTGTTATGTTTACAATAATGGATAAGCATAACCCTTTATCTCCGTTGGCAGTGACGGCGTGCATGGGTTCAAGGGTCCACATCCTGGTGTTCATGTGGCGCGGGAAAAGTGCAGCACGATATCAATGACAGGACTTTTTCTCAACGCCCGGTTCTAGCGAGTTGCCCAATGTCGAATACGAGAAGTTTGAACACGCATATCATTGCGAATCGTACAATATGCCGCCTACAGATCGAACCTTCTCTCCACACCGGATCTTATTCGCCTACCCGTCCGCGGTCTTGGCTGATCGTTTTCTCCAATCGACCCGGTCTAAATGCACAGTTCCTTTGGAAATACGTCCTCATTCATCAGCATAGAATGAGACGGCCACAAAACACAACACCATGTACTTCTCAAACGTCTCTCTGGATGCAACAACTCTGGAACACATGCATATGTGAATCTATCACCTAAACACTCCACTCGGACCCGTTCTCCAACTTGACCATACTCTTCTCCACCCTCTCCCTCTCCTCCCTCACATCCAACCACCTCCCCTTCCCCCACAAGCACCCCCACACGCACGCAAAGAACCCCACCATCCCCCCCGTATACCCCAGAATATGCAACACGATACTCACCTCCCCATGCGCAGGGTTCATCCACTCATAGACATAAAACCCCTTAGTCAGACGCGTCAAATACGCCAGTCCCAAGTACAGACTCAGCAATGCTAGCAAAACACCCAGATGGGACACCGGCATAGCTCTCGTAGCCGGGACAACGATCTCAAAAACCGCGAACAGCGAATTCAGGCCGTGGACACTGATATTGATCCATTGTTCGAAACGCCCCGTTGGCCAAGGCCCGCTATACATAGTGCCCCAAAACACAGTGGTTACCAGAAACGGGAAACATGTAACCGTGGAGTAATAGATCGTGTGCGCGAGTTGCAGCGGTCGGGGCCAGCGATGTAGCCACGTGGTGCCTGTACGCGCGTACACGAAGGTGTGGAGGGCGGAGAAGAGGAAGTAGAAGCCCAGACTCCAGAATGTGAGGTAGGTGAAGAAGGAGAAGGATTGGTGGATGCCGTCGGAGCCGATGGTGAGGGTGTAGGAGGGGATGTTGATGTCTTTGAGCGTGTTTGTGGACGTGTTGGAAGCGAGGTAGGTGTAGCAGATTGTTATGGTGGCGAAGCTGTAGAGGGCGAGGAGGGCGCGGAGAGAGGCGAGTAGGTAGATGGGGAGGAAGGGCGAGCGGAAGAAGGTGTGGTTGGGGTCGAAGCCGGTCGGTGGGAGGCCGAAGGTCGAGTATGAGAGGAGTTGCATGATGCGAGGGGCCCCGGGGGCTTGTTATTTCGTTCGCTTGAGGATGGTCTCAGACGGTCGAAAAGATGTTTCGGTTTTGAAGGAGTGGTTCTGCAAAAGTTCCGGTCTAGGAGGGAGAAGGAATGGGTGTTGTCTCGGAGGACTTCGTAAGTGGTCGTGTCTTGCAAAAGCGAATTGAAAATGAACGTCGTTCTAAGTGTAAGGAGGATGTCCAGATACCCGTATAAAGTTCGGTGTTCTTGAGGACTCATTCGATCCTGCTCGAGGTGATGGGACCGTGAGAATATATCATCCATGGCCCATACTCCCGCCCCGGCGCCAATGTGTACCAAAGGACATCTCCCCCAACTCACACCCTTACTCATCGGCCCCAAGTGCATCTTCAGCTCAGCCATCTTCTTTCAATGCTTCAAATCCCCACTCAATGGATCGTCTTCCGCTTGATGGTGCCAAAAGGGGTAGTACAAGCTCCATTATTCCCCGAGAAGATCATCTCGCTTGTCCCGCTCTAATGGAAATGGGATCATTCTCGTCCACTCCGTCGTCTAGATTGTTTGTGGCGTAACGGAGCGCGCGAAGGCCCAGCAGTGAAAATAGACGCCATGTTCCTCGCGGGCGTTAGTGTCGATATGGCGTCGCCCGAATCGTAATTATAGCGTCTCATAAGGGGGTTCCAGGGTTGTTGTCAGCCTCGCCATGTGTGCGCCACGCTTTTTGTTTGGGGTTGAGTCAGATCTGTGGGATGCATTGTCAGGTCATTCGATTGTTCCTAGACGGCAGCGGTGACTATATCGAGGGATTGCGAATAGATAGTGTCGAAGTATTGATGTGTAGACAGTCACAGCGATCTGGTGGATGGTCGATCACTGTCCCTGACTTGACCCGAATGGGTCTAGCTTTATCGGGTCTTTCGTCGCTTATCGCCCGGTCTGGTGACATCTGGAAGGCTGCGGCTATACCAACACCATATATACAAACACTATGCCTGTCATTAAGCATATGAGCGCACCTCCGCTTATACTTGATGTTTCTTTGACAGTAGCGATTTTTTACCCCTTCACGCAAGCCTTCGGGCGCCTTCATTGCGAAATTCCCTCTCCACCCTGCACCACACAACAACGAAGTCGTCACTTGGTCGGGCGTGTATCTCTCTTCCATGTCTCTCATGTTCCCTGACCTGCTTCGAAGCAGAAGAAAGCTGTGGTATTGGCGCTGTGGGCGTGTGGAGGCTATCACAAGCCATATACCATACCCCATACCCATTCTCGCGCAGTTGTAGTAGGTACCTCCTCAGATTCCTTCGAGGTTTCTCTCACCATCATCACTACCACGAGGACTTACGCAAGTCACACATTCCATCTCGGGGTGGGCAACGCCTATTTAAATTCTGGCCTTTGTCGCATACTCACTTCCTTCACAATTCTGTCGACCTTCTCGGCATTTTACCAAGAACGACGGGGACTGCCCGCATGTGTTGCGAGCGGTGATCAAAAACAGAAGTGCAACCCTATGATGTTTTGTGTGCGTGCGTTTGCTGGTAATATGGGTAAACGTGGAGATGATGATACTCAGTATATAATGTTCCCAACTTAACAGCATTTCGAAATAGTACATCATCCGAACTCAGAAGTGGGCTATATGAACTCCCCGGTTTACTACCCTCTTCTTGCCCTACGCTGGTCCTCAGTGCTCACTGTACTAAAAACTAAGCACCCACTCCTGCATGTGCTGTGCGGCAAAGATTGAAAATTCCGAACTGTGGCGCCTATGGAGAGTCGTGTGTGTTAGGTATTACTAGTTGATTGAGAGGATATTGTTAATAATGCCTGTTATCACCAATATCGTTCATCAAAAATAGAGAACAGTTAACATCCGAAGTCGGAAACGGGTATATAAGGCTCTCCATTCCGCGCCGTGCTGGATTTTTCACACCTTACCTTCCGCAGCCTTCCGGTATCAAAATCATCTGTAGAACTGGGCCATGTGGCTGGAATAGAGATTTTGACGAATTGTCGTAGAAAGTGATGGTGCGTGGATTCATCACCCTGGGTTTTATGTGTGATCTTGATCATGAGAATAATGTAGTAAGTGTTGGAACAATAAGCAACATGGGATTCGGAACACCCAGATGGGTAACACGAGGGTTGCTTGGTAACACGAGGGTTGCTTGGCAACCCCGCACCAGGTGTCTCTTTATCGTACCATGTACCTTCGAGAAGAACAGAACAAGAACAATCCAACCGACTTCATGACTGCATAACGTTTTCCATTTCATTTCAGCACTAGTGCTACAGACCCAACCAACAGTAAGTGTGATAATAATACTCAACTACATTAGATACAACGTAGAGTTCACAAAGGCGCTTGATCTAGAGCCGGAAACGGGTATATAAGGCGCATAATTTGTAGAAACCTTCGTTTCTTTACACCCTCAAGATTCTAATCTCCTTTTCTAAAATTCGGCACTTACGAACATATGAGGCTGTACTGAGACAAAAACCTATAAGGCCTAAATGATGGTGTGCTGATACTCATCTTTACAGACCTCGTTGAGGCTTGCCTCCGTCTAGTCGCTTACACCAACTATTTGAGCGCAGTGCCTTTGTACATTGAGTCCCTCTCTCCCCTCACTGTGTGCGAAGCTCTAGCTTTTCAAAAATAATCTCACCCATACAGCATGTCCTCGGATCTAAAATTGCGCTGAGATACCCACATGCCCACCGTGCAGAGCCTACATTCTGCACCCCTTCTCTTCTCCACTCACTTTCTGCGCCTTTGTTAGATATCTGAATCTAGTATCTCATCAACGCGTGTGCGCTGAAAGACACTGTCCAAAATTGCGTCCCAGTACGGCTTATGACCGATGATGGCCTATCACGCAACGCATCACTTCCTAACCGCAAAGCTTACATGAAATCATCAGCCCTATCTCCGTATATTGCCTATTTCCTTCCGCACGCACAGCATCCTATTACTGTATCGCACTGTAAATGCCAACTCAAACTTCCTTTCCTGCCTCCCTTGCACAGCAGTTGGACTTCTACGACATCAAAAATTCTACGTCGCTCGCAGAATGTTGACTCGAAGTGAAGTCTAAAAGCATCTTCCGTCTCGCTCCATGTTCACGCCTGCATCTACTAACCGTGAAGATATGAAAGAAGTGATAATAGTGATTGACATAACACTTGCGCCGGTTTTGGACTGCAGCAACAAACGAGGGCGACGTGACATGATCCTTCTTCCCAAACGGCTGCCCACGCTACTATGTCCCCACCCTTTGTAGCACCAACCAATACGCTTCTCCCCGACCTCCAACCATACAAAAAAAGCGTATCCACATTACCGTCAAAACTCCACAAAGAGAGATAAAAAGCAAAAAAAGAAAAGACGACCGAAGTGGGACTCGAACCCACAACCTTGGCCTTAGGAGGGCCACGCGCTACCATTGCGCCATCCAGCCTTTCGTTGGTTGCAAGATCACACCTATTAAATGCTTATATACCAATTAATTTTAAAAGGTGCAACCCACTGTCGTACTTTCCACTTTCCGTCAGCCTTGTGTGAGTGATAGTGCGCTTGGTTTGATTGCGAGTTGTGGAAAGAGAAGGGAGATACTCGCGTGGTGGATGAGCGGCGGGTGAGGATGCGAGGAGCTGGTTGTGATGGTGTGGTATACCTATTGCACGGTTCCGAGGGGATTGACGTCAACATGGAGTCTCCCAAACGTACCTCTGGTGTTCGGGGATGAGTGTCAGGGAAGGAGCAAGAGCTGGAAAGCTTGTCTCATCAACGACGGTAACTTCTTTTCTCCGTTTATAGACGAGCAAGTATTATCCACCTTCGCACTTCTCACATCACAACAACTGACACAGACGGTATGATGCGCAAAAACACATTCCCATTCCACATACCATACCCAAGATCCATATGATCCCTCAACCTACCATCCAGCGTACAGCGCTCCCCGTTTACCCATCTACAAAACTCATCATCCTACATCAGTCGAACCCCCGCCCGAACATGTGCATCCTGGGATATCTTCCATCACTTACAACGAACGTTCTCGCGTCGCTAATCCTTTTCAAGCTGCGCAAAAACATACAGAAAAACACAGCAACCCGCTTTTCAGATCACGCTAACTGCGCACTACGCACCAGCTTCCTCTTCAAGCAGGGCAAGCGTATGCCCATTCACCCCGTTTGCACTACCGCCGCCCATATTATGATTATCCTCGTCGTCCTCGTCGACTTCACCGTCCGGGTACTCCATCTTCTCTTGCTGCGCGATGGCTTGTTGTGAGACAATCTCCGCAAGACGTTTGAGACGCGGGGTTTGCAGCCCTAGGAGATGCTTGTTAGTCTCTACTCTGAACAGTATGCAGGAACCCAACTCACAGGAAGGCGTATACGTCTCCAACGCCGTAATAACGCGAGGCTCCGCAATCTCATAGGGACCCGAGTCCTCCATATCCACAGCCGTCAATAAGAGCACATCGCTCTTTTCTGTGACACGACTTGCGACGGCCTTCATGATTTCGCCGTTGATAGGTTGCTCGTAGTCAGCGACGAGATATTGGTTGAGCAACTTCTGGATCTGGTTGGGCGAGAGCATCCAGCAGATATCTTGGATGATTTCGATGTCATTGAGGGTTGCTTTCTTAAGCTGTAGCAGCTTTGTGGCTTGCATCAGGTGCTCGAGTTGCAGGGTGCCTTCAGGCATATCGTGCGACTTGCACCATTCTTCAATACGCGTGATGTTGTAGTTGATCTGTAGGCCTCGCTTCCACGAGAGGAAGTTCCTGCGCATAAGGAGGTCGTTGAAGGCGGTCACGCCCACGAGTCTCAGGAGTTCTGTGACGGTCTGCGTGATGATGGAGTCTTCAAGGTAGTAGGCCTTCATGGCCTTGTACACGTTGTTCAGTAAGCTGAGCAGGTTGTCCATGCTAAACGCAGGCGCATTGTTAGTCTGGAGCAGCTTTCCGAGGAACCGGTTGCTCTCATTGGTGACGAAGCCGGGAAGAGACTGCGACTCAATGATGGCAGGCACGATCATCTTGTGCAGTTTCTTCTTCAGCACCTTCATCCAAGTGTGGTAGATGTTGAACTCGAGACTCTCCAGATCGTGCTTGACGATCTCGAGCAACCTGTCATACTCGTAGTTGTCGGTCTTCTGCTGCTCATACCAGTCCTCTGCCAGGAAGACAAAGGAGAGCATCTCGTGCACGTTTGACAACCAGAAGGCACCTGGGTTGATAGCTTCATCACCGTCATGCTGCATAACCTCCTGCTGGATCGATTGCATGACATTGGCAAGGAAACGCTCCGATTCCTTGACGAAGCCATTGTTCCACATCTCAGAGGTGACGAGGTTGATGAGGTAGGCGGGGAAGAGAACCTCCTTGTCAGTAGGAGGCGGTGTGGTGGAAGGTGAGGGGATACGGAGGTTCTTGATGAGGCCGAGTGTCACTTCATCGTTCAGCCCATCCTCATCGGCAAGAATGTTCTCGAGCTCCAACTCGACATTATCGAAGTTGGGGTTGAACGTGGAGCCGGAAAGGTTCTGGCGATGTACGGTGGCACCCACAGCCATAGACATAGGCCTGGGGCTGTAAGTCGCGCTGATACGCTCGAGATCGCGGGTGTCGGGGCCAGCGCTCCGCCTCTTCTTCGCCTTCTTGGACGTAACAAGCTTGATGAAACTGCTTGGGCCAAGGGCTGGGTGGCCATTCGCGATCTCTGGGATGGGCCCAGCACGCTTGAGCAGCTCGACTTCGTCCTGCAACTGAGCGAGTTGTTGGCGCAAGGTGAGCTTCTCGTTCTCCGTGACGTTGCTCCTCCTCTTGGCCTGGTCCAGCTCATCGGAGGTCTTCTTGAGAGTGGCGCGCAGTTGCTTCTCCTCTTCTTGCAGATGTCGCATCTTGGCCGTGCTCTCATCGTAGCTAACCTGCAACTTCTTGTACTCTTCCTCCATGGCACTGAGCTTGGCGGCTGTGATACCGGCCTGGTTGGCTTCGGCCTGCAGCTCCCTCTGGCGCGCTTCCAACGTCCGACTCCGCTCCTTGTAAGACTTGATTTGGCCCTCATAGTTCTCCACTTGTGACTGCAGCGCCTTGTTCTGCGACTTCATCGTACCCAAAGACTGTGTGAGCTCGACGACCTTGTTCTCCAGCTTGTACGAGATGTTCTTAAGATCTCGCGCTTCGGCACGGAGCACCTTATACTCGCGACGAGCCAGCTTGCCGCGCCAGAGACTCTGGATGATGACGATCTTCTTCCGGTACTGCCGCCAAGCTCGGAGAGACCGCTGTTGCCGCCAGTTCCGTTGGATAATCCTCGCAGCGTTACCGAGCCGGGTGTCCAAGATGTTCTTACGACACAGATATCCTTTCGCCGCTGCCTGGAACAAAATAACAGATTGCCTGACGATGTGGAATCTCTTCCTCTCCCGTGTACCGCGCCATACTCTTTGAATAGTGGTCGCCGCCTTGACTTGCCGGGCCTCTTCTGCGCGCTCGCGGGTAATGAATCCTCGTGCCAAAGACTGCAGAGCGATGATAGAAGCGCGGGTTTCGAGATAGATGCGTCTGTAGTACTTCGCCCGGAGGTTCTTCTGGATCATGATCGCTGCGTCGTTCAACCTAGCCGTGCGAAGGTTCTCCAAGAAAGCAAGCATGCCAGCTCGGAAGAAGATCTTGGTGAGACCCATCTGGTACTTGTCGTGTCCATCGGGTTTCCCACTTCCAAGGGCCTGCCTCAGGATTGCAGTTGCCATATCCCGGATCTCCGGTGTCCACTTGGACGATGGGACCAGCATGTAGTACCGCAATGCAAACTCTTCATACGTCCATCTTGTGGGATATCCGGCGCAACTGATGCGGACAGTCTCGAGCACACCACAAGCTCGGAGCTGGCTCAGAACCATGGGACCTTCGAACTTCCATGCCTCCTTCGCTTCGTTGGGCTTAATACACCGGATGTAATGGACATCGGTGGAGTTGATCGTCTGCATCAGCTCGATGAGTGATGACTTGAAAATACCTCCAAGAGTGGGCTTCCTGTTGACAGCTATTCTTCGTCCAGCGGAAATGGCAGCTCCAGGCTTCGAGGACGCCGTCGCCGCGGTCTCCTTCTCCCGGATCATGGTAGCCACATCCAAAACTTCTCCCAAAAACCTGTTGTTTGACCGCTTCAGGACCTCCATGTGCTCATCCGGCACGGTATCTCTGTTCTTTTCTATGAAGCCATCGGACTCGTATGTGACATCGATTGCGTAATGGCAGACAGTGAAGGCAGATTTTCCAAAGCGAGGTTTCTTGTAGAACTTCTGCTTGTCGCCGGCGAAGTTGTGATGTAGCTTGGTAACAAATTGCTCATCGGATCCCATAGGCAGGCGCGACTCCTCGTCCAGCAAGGAAAGCACACCAAGCTTGCCTTCAATAAGATCAATACAAGGTTGGTTGTCGGCAAAGTCGATAAAGGTCCAGTCGATCTGCTCCCGGAGATACTCCTCCTGTTCGAGCTTGAAAACATGCTGGTTAAACTCCTGCTGTAGCTTTTCGTTGGCATAGTTGATACAGAACTGCTCGAACGAGTTCTTCGCGAAATGTTCGAAACCGTAGATATCAAGGACGCCGATGAAGGAATGCGCGTGGCTGATGACTTCTTCGGTAGCAAGGCTCCGGTTGATCCGGTCCACCAACCAATCGAAGAGAGAGGAGTATATGAATTTGGCAACGGAATCTCTTACAACAACCGCTTGCTGCTGGGTCAAATTCGAAACAATCTTTTCTCCTCTGGTGATAAGCTGCTTCTTGACTGTCCATTTTGCGAAGCTCGCAGCATCGATGCCGAGAAGTCTGCAGGCCTTAACGAGGGCTGGCTCATCCGGGTCTAGCGAGGAGTCCGTCCGGGTGGCCTTGATATTGATGTCTCCGAGATGTAGCAATGCGGCCAGCAGGCGGAATATCTCTGCCTGAGTGTCGGTGGGAACTCCGATGGTAGTCAACGAATTTCGCGTCGCGTCAAACTCCGCCTTATCGTCGACGCCCTCAATCGTGGGCGAGCTACCCTGATTAAGGTAGCTAAAGTCTTCGACGGACTTCAAGCCAAGTTCGGCCCGCTCCGCATCCGTAGCGCCCGCAAGAAGCTGGTAAAAGATATGATAGTTCCTTTCCTTCAAGGGCTGGAACACCAATCGCGACCGCTCCAACAGATACACCCTGATCTTCGCGCCGATGATATCCGTCTGCTTGTTGAACATGATTTCGATGTACTTTCCGAAACGCGAGGAGTTGTCGTTTCGAGTCGTTTTCGCGTTACCGAATGCTTCCATGATGGGATTCGTGGCGAGGATCTGCTCCTCTGTCTCGCTCATAGCGTCCGCCCGTCCTCTCCGCTTGCCTGGGCTATCAGGCGACTCTCGCGTAGCAAAGTATCGCATGATGTATTTCGCGCTGACTGT